GTAGTGTCCGACCGAAAGTTCGGTTTCGGTTTCGGTCGAGTTTCGGCAAAAAAACGAGTTTCGGTTTCGGCGGCAAACCTGCCGAAACTACAACCGAAACCGAAACTGCGTTCGGGAGTTCTCGCGCTCTGCTCGGTCATGTTCGGCGCGATAAATTCCATCCAAGCGAAGTATACTATACTTACTCAAATAAACATCTCACCTATTTTAAGTATTTTTAAGGCGTAATTAAAGTATTTCCTTAAATGAGGGGTTGTTATGTTGATTTTGATTTGATTATCAATAAGTGAAAATGTCAAAGACTGCAGAGCTATGTGATTTAAAGATAAAAAAAATAAAACTGACTGATTATAATAACGTCTTCTTTATTTTTCTCTCAAAACATGATCCTCATAAGGAAGTTTTAGTTTCGGTTTCGGTTTCGGTCGTAAAAACCAGTTTCGGTCGGACACTATTTCTGATGTTTATTTTTACCTTGACAATTGTTTCGGCGAATACTAATAGTTTCTTCGAAAGTTATGTGGTAAACATGAAGAAGTCAAAGTTTGGCGAAACAATTGCCTATGTCACAGAAGTTAAAAGTTATTCATCATCATAACGTCGTCAGTCCTAAGACTGGTTGGACACGCATCTGTACTCCTTCCTATCCTGAGCTAATCTTCGCATTTCGCTAAAACTAGAACATCACACATCCTTTACTATTTGCGAACAGAAATCTAATCTAGGTCTACCTCTACCCCTCCCAACTTCCGTTTCTGTCTCTCATGCCTGAGAAGGTGTCCTATCAACTCGCGTATTATTATTGACATCCATGGAGTCCTCTGTTCTCCTATTGTTTCTAATAACTCTTCATTTCTAACCTTCTCTATCCATGGTATCCTCATAATTCGCCTGTAACACCGCATTTCAAACGTTTCTAATCTTTTCTTTTCCCTTGCGTCCACCGTTCATGTTTCGCACTCGTCCAGTGCCGCGCTCCAAACATACACCTTTAACAATCTTTATCGAATTGTGTGCATCCTTGTCTGACTTTCTTCCTAATATTTACTTCTCTGCGTTGCTGCCCCAGCTCTTATGTCTGCTAACTAAGCATCACTTTTCTATCTCTGTAACTTATACCTACATTTTTAAGTATATTTAACATCTTGTCCCATTTCGTTTTCTCTATTGTTACCCGTAAAGCTATAATGGTCTCCCGCATTCCTCTATTTCTTCTAAACCCAAAATTGATCTTCCCCTAATAGTTCTTCCGCCTTTTTCCCTTTCTTTTCTGTACAATTCTAGTTAAAAGAGATTAACAGACAATTATACATAGGTAATGTCCATATATAGATACTAACTATAAAAGGAAAATATTTTCCCCTGCTTTTCGTGATAACTGATGTCTTTGTATCAATCAGTTTGAACCTGACGCTCCTAGCCACCTAAGAGACGTGATACCGATACTTTTAACCTATTAGAAAGGAGAAATCTGAACCTGTAAGAGCCGACACAAATTAACGAGAGCAAAATTGCGAACCAGACCAGTCTACTAATTCTACTTGCTCAGCATTTGCCTAATTTGTTACCATCACTAATTTGTAACAACAACAAAAGTTCTTCCTTTAATTAATAGCCGTAACAATTTTAACTTATTTACGTGGTCATTGTTCATACGTATAGCGTCTAAAAGTTTAGACTGTGAAACCAAAGATCAGTATAGTTTTATAACAATTTAACCAGAGGAGGGTTATTATGCCCCACAGAAAACGTAACTATGTTTTACTACTTAGTTTTGAAAGATATAACGGATTTAGGTCCTACCTGAGTTTCATTATCATTATCATAAGGTTGTTATTTCTGAGACTGGTTGGACACACACCTTCGCTTATTCCTATCCTGAGCTAATCTTTGGATTTCCCTAAAACTGAAACATCCCAAATCCTTAACTATTTGTGACCAGTAATGTAATCTAGATCTACCTCTAATCCTCTTAACTCCTGTGTCCAACTAGCCCTTCATGCCTGTGAGAAGGTGTCCTACCAACCTATCTCGTCTATTTCTTAGTAACTTCCATAGAGTCCTCTGTTCTCCTATTTCCTCTAACACCTTGTCATTTGTAACTTTCTCTATCCACGATATCCTCATCATTTACCTGTAATACCAAACACTTCTAACCTTTTCTCTTTCGCCGCATTCACCGTCCATGTTTCCTACCTAAGTTTAATTATTGAAGAAATGACCATGCAAAAATAATGATGTAGTGCATCATCATCATCATAAGATCGTCAGTCCTAAGACTGGTTGGACACGCATCTCCACTCTTTCCTATCCTGAGCTAATATTTGCATTTTCCCAAAACTAGAATAACACACATCGTTTACTATTTGCAAATAGAAATCTAATCTAGGTCTACCTTTACTCCTCTTAACTCCTGTTTCTGGCTCTAATATGTCTCTGACTAGACCTTCATGTCTGAGAAGGTGTCCTACCAAGCTATCTTCCCTTTTTTAATTTCCACAGAGTCCTCTGTTCTCCTATCCTTTCTAATACTGCTTCATTTCTAACAAGACATACGCCTTTAACAATCTTTCTCGAATTTCTATATTAACCGTTCGTGAGCATAGAAGTGACTTCTTCTTATTGAAGGCGACTCAACCCTGCGCTATCCTCTGCTTTATATCCTACTACTGCTTCCTTCCTGAGTTATCTGACTTCCTAGATACCTAAAATCGGCCACTTTTTCTAATTTTTCGTCTCCTATCCTTATATTCGCTCTTTGCCTACTTTTTCTTCCCTTGTACACCAGTATTTGTGTTTTACTTTTATTTATTTTCATACAGTAATGTTTTGTTAATACCGAATCCATTTTATTTAAAGCTATCTCTAACTCCTCCTTGCTAGATGCTAATACTGGTCTATCATCTGTAAATCTAAGCATACCAATCTTTTGTCCCTGTATATCTATCCCTACAGTTGTATTGTCTTTAATGATGTTGATCGCGTCTTCGATGTATAGATTAAAACGCAGCGGTGACAGTATGCACTCCCTCTTTGATATTTACTTCTCTACGTTGCAGCCCCAGCTCTGTAACTGCCTGTTACTCTTTATACTGTTCTTACAAATTATTACAGATGTTCTCAATTCCCTTGTCTAGAAACTACATGAAAGCTAATTTATAATTGAGTCACTAAGACAAAAGAAAAGTTCCGGAAAAGTTCAAATGCCTCATAAGGGATAGTATAAAGTATAAATACAATTTCATTTCGTTCGACACGTAGGTTTGTACGTAGATATCAAGGATTTGTACGCCTAAAGAAAAGATGTACATTGTAACCGCATTTAATTCACTTCGTGTGTGACAAAAGAGTAATGAATAGATATGGTCGAAAACGAGGCCAGAGGGATCGAAAAACACTTCAAATGGATAACGGAAGGGAGATAAAGTGAAGATGCGCGCTCTAGAAATTTAACTCGTCGACTAAAGTTGGATGGTGTAAGAGACTTTCATTCAAGCCGTGATTGATTTGGCTACAATACGTCAACTGCAGAGCAAAAGCTCATTCGTTTTTACGGCTTAACAATGACGACCTTTAAGGTCCACTACACAACGCCAGCGACTTTTTGCTTCTTGGACAAAAAGAATGTGAGCTATTCATGTCATGAAGTTTAAAAAAAATGAACAGTCTTTTACTCTGTGCCTGCGAGTTATTATCTCTCAGAAAAAAGTTAAATCTAACTTCTGGTCTAAATATTGTGGTTTATTATTGTCAGCTCACAAAAATCTTAGTGTTCCATTATTCAGCTATTAGATCTTATATCAAGTAAAGGATAGCGCAGGGTCGAGTCGCCTTCAATAAAANAGCATAGAAGTGACTTCTTTTTATTAAAGGCGACTCAACCCTGCGCTATCCTCTGCTTTATATCCCTACTACTCCTTCCGTCCTGACTTATCTAACTTCCTAGATACCTAAAATCAGCCACTTCTTTTAATTTTTCGTCTCCTATCTTTATATTCGCTCTTTCCCTACTTTCTCTTCCCTTGCATACCAGTATTTTTGTTTTACTGTTATTTATTTTCATACAATGCTGTTTTGTCAATATCGCTTCAATTTTATTTAAGGCTATCTCTAACTGCTCCTTGCTAGATGCTAATACTGCCATATCACCTACAAATCTAAGCATACTAATCTTTTGCCACTGTATATCTATCCCTATAGTTGTCCTCTTTAATGATGTTAATTACGTCTTCGATGTATAGATTAAAAAGTAGCATTGCTAAATGGGGATGTAACGCTTCATTGAAAAATTGTTGTTTGAAAATTAAAAACTGAGTTACAAACAATATTCAAAATCGAAAAATGGAATCTGTACAATGGTCGGAGGCCTCCCAATAGTGACGTCATATTTCAACATTTCAACTTTGTACTCTAGCTTGTGTCGGTACATTCTACATGTTTTAATTGTAGGTGCAATGCATGTGTGAGGCTCTAAACAAACGGGGTGATGTAGAACGTTTAGCTACATTTCTCTGGTCTCTACCCGAATCGGAGCTGGCGAGGGAATCCGAAAGCCTACTACGCGCCCAGGCTATAGTAGCTTTTCACAAAAATTCATACAGACACCTCTATAAGATATTAGAATCGCACTCTTTCCATCCTCGGTGGCACACCGATCTACAGACTCTTTGGCTCGAAGGACATTATGCTGAAGCCGAACAAATTCGCAAGAGAAAATTAGGTGAGCAGCGAGCCATTTCTTAAATACCTTAGAATAATCATAAATAATTATTCTGCCATCCTAGGTACCGCAGAAATTGACGGATAGCCCTCTATATTTTATTTCAATGGTCGAAGACCCAAAAATGTTCATTTCTCCACAATTTCATCACTTTAGTTAACTGTGATGCAGAAATCTGAAATTTATATATGGAATACTAACCTGACCTAACCTACATATACAAATCTAATTTTTCGTGGAAATATTGTGTTTTAATTTATTTATTTGAAGAATGTTAACCAAAAACATTGACATTTTGAATATCAATTGAAGTATTAGGTTAAATAACACACTCCTATCATGTTTTTGGGTTTTCAAACTTCTTTTTAAATAAGTTTACGTATTTAGTAACTTAACCTAATAATCCATCAATTTTCGTTTGTCAAATGCTTTACTTATATTCTTTAAAACTACTGTTATTTCTTTAAGTTTTATATATTCCTGATTACATCTTTTACCAACCTCTTTTACAAAAGCAAGTACCCAAGTTTGCTTTAAGGTCCCGTGGATAGATATCGCCTTCGAAAAAAGTTTCCGTTACCCAAGACAATTTGGGATGGCGAAGAAACTGTATATTGTTTCAAGGAAAAAAGTAGAAACGCTTTGAAGGAATGCTATGCCCGAAATCATTATCCAACTCCAGATGAGAAAAAAGAACTTTCAGAAAGAACTGGACTTACCCTTGTGCAAGTTTCTAACTGGTTCAAGAACAGAAGAGCTTATTCCTATCCTGAGCTAATCTTTGGATTTCCCTAAAACTGAAACATCCCAAATCCTTAACTATTTGTGACCAGTAATGTAATCTAGATCTACCTCTAATCCTCTTAACTCCTGTGTCCAACTAGCCCTTCATGCCTGTGAGAAGGTGTCCTACCAACCTATCTCGTCTATTTCTTAGTAACTTCCATAGAGTCCTCTGTTCTCCTATTTCCTCTAACACCTTGTCATTTGTAACTTTCTCTATCCACGATATCCTCATCATTTACCTGTAATACCAAACACTTCTAACCTTTTCTCTTTCGCCGCATTCACCGTCCATGTTTCCTACCTAAGTTTAATTATTGAAGAAATGACCATGCAAAAATAATGATGTAGTGCATCATCATCATCATAAGATCGTCAGTCCTAAGACTGGTTGGACACGCATCTCCACTCTTTCCTATCCTGAGCTAATATTTGCATTTTCCCAAAACTAGAATAACACACATCGTTTACTATTTGCAAATAGAAATCTAATCTAGGTCTACCTTTACTCCTCTTAACTCCTGTTTCTGGCTCTAATATGTCTCTGACTAGACCTTCATGTCTGAGAAGGTGTCCTACCAAGCTATCTTCCCTTTTTTAATTTCCACAGAGTCCTCTGTTCTCCTATCCTTTCTAATACTGCTTCATTTCTAACAAGACATACGCCTTTAACAATCTTTCTCGAATTTCTATATTAACCGTTCGTGAGCATAGAAGTGACTTCTTCTTATTGAAGGCGACTCAACCCTGCGCTATCCTCTGCTTTATATCCTACTACTGCTTCCTTCCTGAGTTATCTGACTTCCTAGATACCTAAAATCGGCCACTTTTTCTAATTTTTCGTCTCCTATCCTTATATTCGCTCTTTGCCTACTTTTTCTTCCCTTGTACACCAGTATTTGTGTTTTACTTTTATTTATTTTCATACAGTAATGTTTTGTTAATACCGAATCCATTTTATTTAAAGCTATCTCTAACTCCTCCTTGCTAGATGCTAATACTGGTCTATCATCTGTAAATCTAAGCATACCAATCTTTTGTCCCTGTATATCTATCCCTACAGTTGTATTGTCTTTAATGATGTTGATCNCACCTTCAACGAAATTTCCTTTCCGAGGCTTTGTGTCAGCCCAATCACATATTGTGTCAATACTTATCATTTTATCGTAATTTAAAAACTTGGAAATTGCACGGTACACTATAGGAACTACGATAAATTTTCCCTAATCGGCGCCATGTTTTTAGGCTCCTCCCATTTGACGGATCCCAATACCTTTAACAACCTTTTTCGAATTTCTAAATTAACCGTTCGCGAGCATAGAAGTGATTTCTTTTTATTGAAGGCGACTCAACCCTGCGCTATCCTCTACTTTATATCCCTACTACTCCTTCCGTCCTGACTTATCTAACTTCCTAGATACCTAAAATTAGCAACTTCTTCTAATTTTTCGTCTCCTATCTTCATATTCGCTCTTTCCCTACTTTCTCTTCCCTTGCATACCAGTATTTTTGTTTTACTGTTATTTATTTTCATACAATGCTGTTTTGTCAATATCGCTTCAATTTTATTTAAGGCTATCTCTAACTGCTCCTTGCTAGATGCTAATACTGCCATATCACCTGCAAATCTAAGCATACTAATCTTTTGCCACTGTATATCTATCCCTATAGTTGTCCTCTTTAATGATGTTAATTACGTCTTCGATGTATAGATTAAAAAGTAGCATTGCTAAATGGGGATGTAACGCTTCATTGAAAAATTGTTGTTTGAAAATTAAAAACTGAGTTACAAACAATATTCAAAATCGAAAAATGGAATCTGTACAATGGTCGGAGGCCTCCCAATAGTGACGTCATATTTCAACATTTCAACTTTGTACTCTAGCTTGTGTCGGTACATTCTACATGTTTTAATTGTAGGTGCAATGCATGTGTGAGGCTCTAAACAAACGGGGTGATGTAGAACGTTTAGCTACATTTCTCTGGTCTCTACCCGAATCGGAGCTGGCGAGGGAATCCGAAAGCCTACTACGCGCCCAGGCTATAGTAGCTTTTCACAAAAATTCATACAGACACCTCTATAAGATATTAGAATCGCACTCTTTCCATCCTCGGTGGCACACCGATCTACAGACTCTTTGGCTCGAAGGACATTATGCTGAAGCCGAACAAATTCGCAAGAGAAAATTAGGTGAGCAGCGAGCCATTTCTTAAATACCTTAGAATAATCATAAATAATTATTCTGCCATCCTAGGTACCGCAGAAATTGACGGATAGCCCTCTATATTTTATTTCAATGGTCGAAGACCCAAAAATGTTCATTTCTCCACAATTTCATCACTTTAGTTAACTGTGATGCAGAAATCTGAAATTTATATATGGAATACTAACCTGACCTAACCTACATATACAAATCTAATTTTTCGTGGAAATATTGTGTTTTAATTTATTTATTTGAAGAATGTTAACCAAAAACATTGACATTTTGAATATCAATTGAAGTATTAGGTTAAATAACACACTCCTATCATGTTTTTGGGTTTTCAAACTTCTTTTTAAATAAGTTTACGTATTTAGTAACTTAACCTAATAATCCATCAATTTTCGTTTGTCAAATGCTTTACTTATATTCTTTAAAACTACTGTTATTTCTTTAAGTTTTATATATTCCTGATTACATCTTTTACCAACCTCTTTTACAAAAGCAAGTACCCAAGTTTGCTTTAAGGTCCCGTGGATAGATATCGCCTTCGAAAAAAGTTTCCGTTACCCAAGACAATTTGGGATGGCGAAGAAACTGTATATTGTTTCAAGGAAAAAAGTAGAAACGCTTTGAAGGAATGCTATGCCCGAAATCATTATCCAACTCCAGATGAGAAAAAAGAACTTTCAGAAAGAACTGGACTTACCCTTGTGCAAGTTTCTAACTGGTTCAAGAACAGAAGGCAACGGGATAGGACACCGCAAGCTAATTCGTAAGTATATCACTAAAAACACAGCACATAAGGTACATTTCCACACACAATTGTTCACTTTCAATTGACACATGACAATATGGTACCTAATAGGTAAACTTCTTTATAAATGGCAATTTTTAACAACTAAAACCGAACGTGTCTCTGTCAAAAAATTTTTTGACATTCAGCTTTCTGTCGCATAGAAACAAAAAATGTAATACCAGAGTAATTAGGTATACTTAACCGCACTTTTTTAGCCCTTGATAAAAATATATGTAAAAGTGACCTCCCTCTTCCCACTAAATTATTAATTTAATTCGTCAACTGTTATTATTAACTATGGCTAATTAATTTTATGTCCATTAGTTATTTAAAACGATCTTAAAATTATGCTTTTCTACACATAATAACCTGATTTTAAGTGCATGCTTTTAGAAATAAAATGAACTATCATGGTTACCAATAAGTTTAATGAAAACAAAAAGCACAAGATGTGCACGGCAGTATCATGTCACAATGGCGCGCTTTTTGAATCATTTTTGAAAAGTATAAAGAAATACGTCATGAATACTTATTAATTTATTTTTGGATTTTAAGTTGTTGTTGTTGAACAAAAAAGTAAATCTTTCTGCAGCTTCCTTTACCACAAAAAGCGTCTAAAAGCTATACACATGCATATGCAAAGAGAAGAATGTTAACTTAATACGTGCTAACTAGTGGTTTGTTTCTTTCTCCACACTTGCATTTTATTAAACCGTAGTTTATTGGCGCGAAACTTGCCGACGGACGACTTGTTTTCAAACCAGAAGTCGTAAAGACATTGGAAAGTTTATCGTCCGAAAAAAGGTTTACCGATTTGATGACTACAAAACAATTAAATTTTTGTTAAGATTTCAAAAAGAAATATCACGCCTATTTACTTTCCATACTAAAATAACAAAAGGTTAATTAAATTTTCAAACGAGCAGTCGCAGTGGTTATAAATGATTTTTAGCGAAAAAAATACTATTTCATCCATTTTGTATCACGAAAAATAAATTTTATTTGTAGGCATTTATATGTCTGAGAAAAATAAAATTAATTAAAAAGTTTTCAACGATATTCCTTTTCTTCACAATTTATCTATAATTATTAACGAGCATCACAAGCGAGTTCCTAGCATATTAGGGGATGTTTAAGAATTGCGTAACGCAGTTTGGGATGAAGCAGAACAATACAGGGAAGTGAGGGGGGTCAAGCTACGCGTTACGTAACATTGTTTTTAATAAAATTTAAAAAATAACTATTTTACTAATGCTTCGGGAAAAACAAATCCTAACTTCAATCCAAGATTTGTGCTTTCACTTTAATATTTTACTGATTTTGCGTGGCATTTTTAGGCTAAAACGGTCACATTTCAGTTATGTGAAAGAGACATAAAATTTCGATTTTAGAAAAAATCAGTCATAAAATTCAAAAAATATTAAATTTATTCGTCTCAATTAAGAATTACGTAATGTATTAGTAATATTGTACTGAATTCATAAAACAAGAATTAACGTTGTTAAGATTGATGAGTTTTTTATAAATTTATTTCAGTTTCACTGTATTTTTTAAAAACCCAAAATCAGCATAGCATCCCTTACAACTGGCATCGGGATAACAGGGATCTCCTGGTAATACTGACACTCTAGATTTAAGTACTCTCCATCCTCCCTTCCGTATCCAGGAGTGACTGTTGTATTTAAAATAATAAGTTGCTGCTTCCAATAAAATAATTCCAATAATTATTTTTCCTAACCAAATCAAAATTAAAAATCGGATAAATTACTAGTTTCGCATTAATCGGTCTGTTGTCGACGTATCGTCCTAGATCACATGGGTCATCTTCAGGGGTCTTCCAATGTAGACAGGCTGTTTAAAATACACGAATTCGTTGGTTTCTTAATTCTCTTTCAGATAAAAATCCTAACGATGCCTAGTGAAATCTAGGACAAAACTCGGTAACAAACAAATTAAAGCGGCCCAAGTCCAGAATGTTGATTTTTTTTAAACTTTTAGCTGTGAAAACATACCGATAGATAGAATAAATAGGCAATATGTCGGTAGATTCATCTCCTCGATACAATTGTCCAAAATTTTCGAATCATTAATCGATTCAATGTCATTTAATGAGAGATATAATTAAAAACCAATGAGTTATTTGACTTTGAAATCGCCCATTTATAGTATCACCCTCTGTAAACAGTAAATATATACTAATTTACCAGAGAAATATCGGATCTTCATAGCCCTTTTTTTTCCTAAAATTGGTTTTAAAATAGCGCCAAGTGTATTCAATGGGGCTCTATAGATTCTTCGTATGAAATTGTGACGAAATTTGTACATTTTTGGATTTTCAAGGGGTTCATTGTGAGCCAATTCTTGATCTTTCAACCATTGTTTTCGCAACATTCTATCTTCGTCAGTCATGCCAAATAGACGCTCCCTTTCCCTGACAAAACGACCAGCTATGGACATAGGCTTAACCCCGGGAGTATCGGTAGCCATTTTCGATAATTTATTTTTATATTATATATCAATCGCAATTGAAATAACAATGCTGATAAGCAAACGTCAACATCAATATAGACATAATGATGAACTTTCACACGATAACTTGATATTAATTTGTGAATGTACCGATCCCTTTGCTCCGACCCTGACCTATTTACAATAACAAATTTAGATTTATGTTTCAACATACTGTCCTTTAAGGTCAACACTCATATCGATATTGTAGCATTCCTAACGTTTCTCGGAAACAAGATTCTTCAGTCTCCAAAAACCACTGATTTATCGCACATATCACAACTTTATCTGGCAAAAATCGTTTACTACGCAAGGATTCTTTCAGTTTTATAAACAACCGGTAATCGCTAGGAGTAAAATCTGGTGACTACGGAGGATGCTTAACTAGTTTGAAGCCCGCCTTGTCTACTGATTTGATTGCGTACTTTATCCTGATGCAATCAGTAAGTTCCCCCACGGGTAAATGTCTAGATGATGGCCCCCACCCACCCCCTTTGGGGGCCATAATTCAGGGTGGGTGGCATCGAAAGAGGAGGTCTCTCCTACCACTCTACCATAAAAAGTTCGTGGCGGTCTCACCCCCATAAACAGTTATGGGGGTTGAAAGTTGATTATTTTGACCATTTTCATACACTATAATTCAAATGAAATTCAATAAAAAAATTATTTTCAAGCGGGTGAAGGTGAGGGATCGAAAGAGGGTGGTCACTTGAACAAAACCCGATAACCTAACCTAACCTACCCTATTGATAAAGATATTTAAATAATGTTTTATATAACTTTCTCAATATTTTTATGTATTTTTCATTAGTTTTACCTTTGAATATTGTTTAAGAATGACTATATAAATATTTACATGCCTAGAAATGTATAAAAATTGGCATATTTATTAACTTTGAACCCCCACAACTTTTTATAGTACAGTGGTGGGGGAGACCTCCTCTTTCGACCTAACCCCCCACTCACACCCCCGAAGGGGGTGGGGACCATCATCTAGACCTTTACCCCCCCACGTTTTTCTTTTATCACGTATGACGTATTTAAATTGACATAATAAGCACCTGTAATTGTGACCCCTTTCTGCAGCAAATCTACCAAACTCACATCTTCGGAATCCTAAAACACAGATAACATTACCTCCCCTGCTGATGGTTGCATTTCCAGCGATGGTGAGCCGTAATGGGTCCATTCCTTACTATGTATTTCGGTCTTTACATCGCAACGATGAATCAAGGACTCATTCATTGTTACGACTCATGAAAGAATTTTTTCTTAATCTTGTCTAAACGCAAGTCCTCATTGCTCATTGCTCAACACGCTCCATTTTGATAGTTTCTATAGTACACAGCAGTAGGACGTGAAAATAAATAATTGTTTCGGTTTATAATTGGGCCAAGAGCAGAGCAGAGCAGAGCAGAGGGATCAGCCCTGGTAGGTACATGAAGGGCAAATTGGATTGCATTAATACAAAGAGATAATTTAGAATGACACGAAAACTCCACCCCAGTATTTGGAGGTTACAACCGTAACTGACTACTTCATCCCAGTACCTATGTACATTTTTATTAGTGTTGCAACAGACCTCTGCTTTCACTTCCGCAAATACGGAAGTTCCGCATACATTTTCACATCCGCTTCTGCATCTGGTTCCGCATTTTTATACCGAAACCTTATCGGAACAATATCTTCTTTTGCATCTTTTTGAAAATCAATATATCGGAACTATTTTCCAACTTATATTCTCTTATTAGTTTCATACTTTAATCTAAAAACGTCCAGGACTTTCAGCTCCCCTTAGCCAGTTCTCCTTATAAAAATCATTTCAAAAATATTAATGCAGTTACAGCGTTTATTTATTTTGTATAGTATTTGCTCAGTGGTGTAAATTTTAGGTTAAAATTGCAGTTTTGTGGCTAAAAAGAAGTTCCATTTCGGATTACTTTGTTGGTATTAACGATGTAAGTGCTAAATGCAAAATTTGTAACAAAATATTCGCGAAAAGGGCGCACGACCACTGCATTAAAGAATCACTCCGCTTGCGTTTCCGCTTCCGCAAAAATTTACTATTTGCTTCTGTTTCCGTGATGAAACTTCCGTTGAATCGCTAATTTTTGTTAATTCTTTTACAGAGACATGATGCTCAGTAGCGTGCCATCTATGGGACACCAAAGCAATATACTTTCAGGACATCATCAGGACGCGATGGAGTTAGCTGCCATACAAACTGCAAAAATGTTTGAATCGGCTTGCAATATTACTTCCTATTTACCTTCGAATTACCCAGTAACTTGAATATTTCCTATGACCGCTTACTAAATGCCATTTAAATAATTGTTGTTATTATCATTCTATGAAAGTTATTAGACGCTTCATATTATGTAATTTGTAAGGCGTGAATGTACGTACTAAATAAAAGTTTTAAACTTTTTTTTTCTTTAATTTAATTCACTGCCTTGAGTTTTACGCCTATAGGACACTTGTAGTTGAGAGAAGACCATTAAATTTGAGTAGAGAAAGTGAGGAATTGCTAAGGTGACCATACGTCCCGGATTGGCCGGGACAGTCCCGGATTTTTCTAGAAGCAATATTTGTCCCGGATTGTCCCGAATTTTTGAAAAGGTTCTTATTTTCAATATTAATTTTAAATATATTTCAACTGGAATTTTATGAAAATTAGCAGTTCTTTTTCTGCCTGCCTGGCACAAATGCTTCTACGGAAAGAATATTTTCTTTAATGAATAGCCTTTGGACAAGTGACAAGACTCGACTTGAAATAGACACACTAAAAGCGATATTACTTACTAAAGTTAATTATGAAGAAAATTGTACAGAATTTTATACAATGCTTCAAAGTAAAAAAGACCTACTGAAAAAGATCC